AGGCGGGGAACGTTGGAGTCCGCAGTCACTGGAGCAAGCAAGCCTCCCTGTTCGCTTCAGTGCATGGCTGCCGGCCGCCATCTTGGCTGACAGTTAATTTGCATAAGGATATGCTGATTAGCCAATGGGAAGGGTAGCGGTCGTATGCTAATTACCACATTTCTCTTTTATTAGTGTAGATATGCATGTATAATTATGCATGATTATTTTTTGTCAACCATTTGAGAGTAAGTTGCATACACATTCCTTTACTCTTACTACAATTACATGCACTTCTGAAGAACAATATTTCATATAGAGCCATTTGGTACATTACTTTTATCTAATCTACAATCCATAATTCAATTTTGTGAATTGTCCCAATAATATCCTTTGTAATATTAATTTTCCCATTAGTGCAAAGCCCAGTCCAGGAAGACATACTGAATGTAGATGTTATGTCTGTTTAGTCTCTTGTAATGGGGAACAGTCAGCCTTTCATAACACTGACATTTTTTAAAGAATACAGGTCAGTTATTAGAATTTGGGTTTCTCCTTGATTAGAATCTGGTTTACGTTCCTGTAAGAGATTTGTGTCCTTTTCAGGGTACCACAAGATGTCTGTCTACCTCTGATTGGTGATGTTGAGTTTGATCATCCCCTCAAGGTGTCTTCCGGTTTCTTCTATGTATACTCTTTTGCTCCTTGCAACTAATAAGCAATCTGTGGAGAGACACTTTGAGACCATATAACTATCTAGAAATTTCGTAATATTTATCTCCTGTACAATTTGCAGTTTGGTCTTGAATCTTCTCCTGGATTTTTCTTTGATTCAATGTTATTGTAAAGAGAGCTTTAAAATGTCCAGGTGTTAGGGAACAACATATAACTCCACAATTCTTGTTATTTATTATTTCATTAATGGAAAAACAAATCCTATTATTTTTTAAAAACCTATTGTTTTGTTATGGATTATGCTTATTTTGTTATGGCTTAATTCTCAATCTTTTCAATTAAAATTTATCATTTGAAATTTTTTTATCTAGTTCAACACACAATTGATACAAACAGCATACAGTAAGGTCTCCATCTTACCAGCTACTCAGTTCTCTAAAGTAATCAAATTTACAAGTTTCTCTGTGTTCTTCTAGAGATAGTTTTCATACAATAAAGCAAAAACATATACATCCCAACCCCCACCTCCATACAAGTAGACTTTTTTAAAAAATATATATTTTATTGATTTTTTCACAGAGAGGAAGGGAGAGGGATAGAGAGTTAGAAACATCGATGAGAGAGAAACATCGATCAGCTGCCTCCTGCACACCCCCTACTGGGGATGTGCCCCCAACCAGGGTACATGCCCTTGACCGGAATCGAACCTGGGACCCTTTAGTCCACAGGCTGACGCTCTATCCACTGAGCTAAACCGGTTA